GTGAACTTAAGTCTAATGTCTTAATTCATTTGGTTCCGCAGGAAAATTTTAATCAAACATTGGTTTGACACTAGAACCTTAGAAGGGGATAAACATTGCTTAATACCTACAGGAAAGGAATTCTTACAACAGATGGAAAATTTGTTAATGTAATTATGTCTCATAATTATTAAAAAAAAGAGAATGTAAAAGATATTAAAAGGAATTTTTTTATTGGGGCTGGAGAGATGGCTCAGTGGTTAAGAGCACTGACTGTTCTTGCAGAGGAACTGGGTTCGATCCCCAGCACCCACATGGCAGCTATGGACCATCCTTAACTCCAGTTCCAGGGGAATCCGAAGCCCTCTTCTGACCTCCATGGCATTGCACGACACAGGTGCACTCACATACATGCAGGCAATACACTCATACACATAAAATTTAAAAAATAATAAATAAAATATTTTTAAAAAAGATTATTAAAAGGATATGGGAATGGAGATATTTTCCAAAATAGAAAAAATAAGAAAGCCTAAGCAAGTGATGAATCTTAAAATTTCTAAGGTCATAGTTTAGTTAACTAGGTTAAGGAACAAAATATATGTCTAGTTAAGGTTTATCTGAGAACATTTGGGTTTTGCCCAAGCTTTATATACATAGCACATGGTATTTAAAAGTACCAGATTGGTATAACTAACCTTCTTGGATAACAGCTGTACTTTGAAGCCTATACTAATCTGGTTAGAAGGACTTAAAGGTCAGTTTTTGCTTCTTGCCCTCCAAGGTTGACTAAGTTCCAGCGGACTATGGAGCACCTCTCAAAATGTCCTGTAACTGTTATGAGTCACCTGTCCTGTTGATCAGGGAGGCCATGGAGACCCTACCTGATGGACTTGAACCAGTGTCCAGACTACAAAGAGGAGGGCCAACACAGAGGAAACATTTCCTCCATGCTTCCAAGTGAAGCCAGCCATGGTCAAGCAGGACCTTTGACTGATCTTCATATAGACAGAACTGGTAAAAGGAGCCAGGTGCTCCTCCCAAGCCCATGTGACCCCTGAGGAACAGATCATCAAATGGCCTTATGAGTAAAAATTAATTAGTTTATCTGGGCCAACTGTATGGTCTTAAGCACCCAAAAGGAAAGTATAACCAAAGATTAAAGTGATCAGTATGTTTCTTTAAGAGTTCAAGGGATTACACTTCCCAGACATTAGACTTAAGTCCACATAAAATATTATTTAGGGAAAATTATTTCTCATTGGTGTTTTTGTTTCTAATCACAAAGTGCTGCTCAGATGTAAGACTTCAAATTTTGGTCTGCAATATTGTAGTGCCCACCTGTAGCTAAGGGAGACAACCCACTATTGTTCTAAAATGATAGCTAAATTTGTTTTCTCCCCCTATTAGAAGCCTTTTTGAGGAAACTGACACTGATTCTAGCCACTCCAACAGCTATCAAAGCCTGAAAACAAACCTGAGTCCATACTCTCGAGTCCAGCCTTGGCAGACAAAAGAGAGATGAAGAGGATCCCAATGGAGGGATGCTTTTGGAAGCTCTCGTCAAGAAATTCCAATGAACTCTGATATGAACATTGAAATTTGCCCTGTTTTGACTGTTTTCTGGTTCCCTGTCTAGAACTTGTAATGCTAACTACTCTTGCCTTTACTTCTCCTTCACATCTCCTAGGCACCAGTCAAGGACTTTCTTTTCTACCAACAGTGAAGAGTTATGCAATTTGGGAGTCTTTTAGATAGACCCACTGAAGGGGGCCCCAGTTGCCTCAACCCTGTGTCCCTGTTCAGCATGGAAGAAGCCAGAGTGGTCTGCGTCCCGATTCTTTATCGGCAATTTGGGTAATCTCTTCAGGGGATGGTGTGATAAGAACAGGAGGTAGGAATTGGCTGTGTAGTTAGGGTAAAAAGACCCCAAAGAAAAGTAGCCAGTTTGTTGGCTAAAAATCAAAATGTCCTTGGGCCTCTTAGCAACATACTCTGTTCCAAAGGCCAAAAATGTTGAAAGTATTTGGGAACTCTTATCTAATCCCTAAAAGATTTTAGGGTTACCTCTCCAGAGGGGGGGGATGTTAAGAGTAGCAAAAAGCTCCATTAAAAAAAAAAAGAGTACAGAGTTCCAAAACAACAGGAAATTGTTCAGGAAAAAGTGATGGGGAGATATGAGGGGTGTTGAGGGGGGGAGTGGGCATGGATTTGATCAAAACGCCTTATATGCATGTGTGAAATTCCAATAGGAAATTGTTCAGGAAAAAGTGATGGGGAGATACGAGGGGTGTTGGGGGGGGGAGTGGGCATGGATTGATTTGATCAAAATGCCTTATATGCATGTGTGAAATTCTCAAGTAAGAAAAAAACAAAACCCACTAGAACTTAAGTAGTTCTCGTTCTTGGGTGCCGAAGCAGAGGAGAAAACCTGGCAGACAGTTAGCTTCATGGCTTTTGTCCTGCTTGACCAAATCCATTGTGACTGATTGCAGCTTTTTATTGGTTCTGGGAATTCTACACTTTGTATGGCTCTGAACTCATAGGTAAGGATGACTGTAGGGAATCATGAGGAATCATCCAGATTGCTTTGAATTGCACTTGATCTTAGCCAAGAAGCTGTAATCATATAGTACTGAAATAATACCTAATTATTGCCACCTACATTTGTCAAGAATGAACTGTCTCCAGCTTACCTCCTCCCCAACCCCCCACCCCCAAAAAAGAGGCTAATGCAGTGCTGCTTCTCAAAGTTTGACAGCTGGATCAGCACTGGGAATTTGTTAGAAATGCAAGTTCTTGGGCCCCAGCTCAGATGTATTGAGCTAGAAACAATGGAAGTAGGGACCATAAAACCATTTACGGACTTTTTCAGGAAATTCTGATGGATGGTTAAGTTGGAGAACCACTGTGTTAGTGGACAATTAAAGAGGTTGAAAATGGGTAATGAGACAAGACTGCGTGTGTGTGTGTGTGTGTGTGTGTGTGTGTGTGTGCGTGCTCGCGTGCGCTCAGTGTATGTATGTGCGTTAGCTGGATAGGAAACAAGGCAGAGAGCACTTAGTGTCCATTTTCAGTCACAGTGCAAGGACACTTGCCCGGGATTATCCTCAAACCATCCTGCTTTGTACCTTTTTGTTGGCTGGCCTGGGGGCTGCAGTTGAACCTGGAGCATCATTATTGCCAGAGCAATAGTAAGACATCCGGCTGCAGTTGCGATCAGCAACCTGAAACACAGAAACCATGACCCAACCGTCAACTGATCGTGACACCGGAAAAGTGAGGCAGGCACCTGGAAATCACAGTCTCAGAGTTTACTTTTATTGTATTTTACATTATTTTACATCTTTTTTTTTTTTTTTTTTTTTTTTTTTTTTGGAAGGGGGTCCCCTTTGCCCCCAAGACACTATGTAGACCAGGCTGGCCTTGAACTCACAGAGATCTGCCAGCTTCTGCCTCCCAAGTGTTGGGATTAAAGGCGTGTGCCACCATGCCTGGCTGTATTTGATATCTTTTTAATGTAACAGAAGTAGAATAACAGCTACAATAGAAAACAAAATAAAGAAAGTAAATTTATACTTAATCCCATTTGTTCCTGATAGTCAACATTAATAGTTTGGTGTGTAGCAATACAGAGTAAAAATCCAGTTAAGAAACAGTTACCAACTTGAGGAGGGTGGTGGTGAGAGCCACACATTGACTGCTGGGATGTCCAGGGAATAAACCAGGGGTGCTCTGGGAGCAGCTATCTGTCCTGTGAGGTGAGCACTAGTTTCAGTGGCAAAGCAGGAGGGTGGAACCTGGCTTAAGGCAAAGACACATTTCTAGATAATGTACAGGAAGATGAGAGGGGGTGGGGTGGGGAGGACAGGCACTTGCAGAGAGGAGGGGTAGAGTCCGACGAGGGGCAGGGTGTACAAATCAGATTCAAAAAGCACAACCAACATGGGACACACCACTGAGATGTGCAGTCCAGACAGGAATCTAGAGGTCTGCAGCACACAGAAGTGCCAGGAAAATCCTCTTTTCTCAGAGTCTGACAGAAGCAGTGCCAAGAAGCCCTTTCCAAAACACCCTGCTGAGTCAGTGACTATGAGCCCTTATAGGCCCTCCCTGCGTGGCCCTGGGAAATTGGGAAAGTGTCAGGAGACTATTCTCTGAGTCCTACATTCAGAATACCTCCAGCTAGAGAGGAAAAAACTCTGAGTAAGAACTTTGCTGTGTTTTTCATGGTGGTAATCTTGTCTGAGCCAAAAACTGGAGTGAGACTCACCAGCTCCCCAGAAGATGGACAAATAATGGCAAATGCTTCAATGTACTGAAGTGCCTCCTGAGTGCCAGGACTGTTTTCAGGTGTATGATTATTAGGGTATGCATGCCAGTAGAAAGCTGTTGACAGTCTCTCCCAGTACCTGCAGACTGAAAGACCTCTAGTTATAATGCCAACTGTCTGGCCCACAAACCATACTGTCTACCTATGGGACAAATGACACAAAGATCAACAAAGGGAGTATAATACACAGAGGTCCTGCTTCCATCTGAAGACCACAATCCAAAAAATCACAAAAGGAACAGCAAGATGGCTGTGTAAAGACTGGATCAGTACCTGCACTCAAACAAGCCATTACATAAGACAGTCTGCATCTGCTACCAGGCGTGTGACCACAGGCACAGTATCCATACATACCCAAGTGATTGCATAGAGACAACCTGCACTCACACACAGACATGTGATCATGTAGAGACTGTCTATACCTGTGTTTGGGTGATTGACCACCTAGGCAATCTGTACCAGGGCTGAGGCAACTGACCACACAGAGACAGATGCTATTTAATACTGTGTTTTAGTTTTGCAGACCCTTTTGTCCTATACTATTCTCTCTCTCCCTCCCACTGTCTGTCTGTCCATTCGTTCCTCCCTCCCTCCCTTATTCCTTTCCTCCCCCTTCTCTCAATAGGTTCTTCCAAAGGGCAGTTTGGTCTTGGACTGGGGGTCTTCCTGCCTCAGCCTCCTGAGTGCCAGGACTGTTTTCAGGTGTATGATTATATTCTTTACCTTTTTCTCTTTCATTCCACTTTTAACAAGAGCTGCCTTATCTCCTCTCTCTTTTTTGTTCTATTTACTTTCTCCTCTTCTACAGTTTTCTGTCACTCTAATACTAAGTACTCATCTTACTCAGCTTATTTTCTTTCTACTCCTTCCCTTAGTAACTAATATTTTAATACATTGTTCTATCCTTGTTCCTTTATCTACCCAAAGTGATTAGAGCTGAAAAGTGATTTGTTTTTATTTGATTGTTTTATTGTTGTATTTTCATAGGGGGACCTATCCATCAGTTGTGGTTACTTCTGCAGTTAGTATTCAACACTCAGAGTGGTGCTGGAGCTTGTGCCCAGTGCCCTAAACATGTGGACTGAGGTTTCAGCCCCTGAGCAAACACCTCCTGCCCAGTGGGGAGAAACAACACCTGAGTCCTATTACAATCTAGTCTCACTTGGACAGTGGGATACTTCAACTGACAGAATATGGATGATCAAAAAAAATCTAACCAATGACTTAATTCCAGATGCACGAGTCCTATTGCAGAAACATAAGAAACTTGAAAAATCAAAGCAACATGAGTCCTCCAAAATTACCAATTCTATAGGAATGGGTTCCAATGAAAGTGAACAAGCTGAAATTTCAGACAAAGAATTCAGAAAAAAGGATTGTAAGAATGTTCAATGAAATGAAAGAGGGCACAGGAATATTCATGAACAGATTAAAAAAAGACTACTAACAAACAGCTGAATGAAATGAACTCAATGCAGGGTATAAAGAAGGATTCAATAAAAGGCAGAAATGAATAACAAATTGAAAATTTGAATTTTTTTTAGCTTTCTTTTAGCAGAAATGAAGACTAAAAATTGAAAATTTGAAAAATTTTTTAGCCTTCATAATTGAAGGGAATAAAAATCTCAATTAAAAAAAAACCAACTCAGTGGAAAGCCTTATCAAATAGAATGGATCAATCAGAAGACAATCGAGGCTTAAAAATAAGGTAGATAAATTAGACTATTCCAACAATGACAATGGTAAAATAGGGAAGGATGAATAGAACATACAAGATCTATGGAACTGCTAAATGGAGCACAGAAGAACTGACAGTATAGGCTAAAGTCTGGAAAAATCATAGCAGAAAATCCTCCAAATCTAAGGAAGAGTTGGTCTCTATATACAGAAGATATTTAGAACATCAGACGAGACAAGAACCTTCCACATCACATGACAGTTAAAACACTAAGCATACAGAACAATTAAAGATATTGAAAGCTGCATGAGAGAAGCCCTGAGTCACATATAAAGACAAACAACAGCTGGCTTCTTAACATGTGCTATATGCACATGGAGGTCAGAAGACAATCTTTCAGGAGTCCGTTCTGGAATTTCACCTGTTGAGACAGTCTCTCCTATTGTTTCTGCTGTGCAGTGCATTTCACACTAGCTGGTCAAGAGCTGCCAGGAAATTCTGCTGTCCCCACAGAACTTTCCATGTCCCCACAGAACTGATGGGATTACAGATATGTGCCACCACCTCCAGATTTTTACGTGGGTTCTTTTAATCAACTCAGGTTGTCAGGCTTGCAGGCAAGCACTTTTACCTGTTGAGCCAGTGGGTAAAGTGCTTGGTATGCAAGACAGGTGACCTGAGTTACACTCCACAGAATCCACACAAGGGTGGAAGAAGCGAACTGAATCCACGGAGTTGTTCTCTAACTTCCATACATGTGCCATGGCAGCCCCCATCATTTATATACACAATAATAAATAAAAAATTAAATTGGAGAAATTTCAAATAATTTAGTGATGTACCTCAAGGTCTTAGAAAAATAAGAACAATCCAGCTGGGTGTGGTGGTGTGTGCCTTTAAGAGGCAGAGGCAGGTGGATCTCTGTGAGTGTCAAGGACAGCCTGGTTTACAGGGCGACCCTGTTTCCAAAAGTTCCAAAAGGCCAAAAAAAAAAAAAATCCAAATCAGAAGACAAGAAAGAAGACATAAATGATAATAAACAGTCATAGAAAGATTAATGAAATAGAAATGAAAAAGAATAGCACAAAGAATCAATGAATCACAGAATTGGTTTTTTGAGAAGACAAATAAGATTGACAAACTCTTGGCAAAAGGAATCAAAAGAAAGAGACACAAATTAGAGGTGAAAAGGGAGATATTACAACAGACATCAATTAAATTCATAGGATCATTAGAGCAGACTTGGAAACTTATCTTAATAAACTGAAAAATCTAGAAGAAATTGGTACACTTCTATAAACATTTGAATGGGAGAAAATCTTTGCTAGCTATATACCTGATAGGGGATTAATATCTAGACTATATTAAGAACTCAGAAAACTAAATACCAAAGAACTAAATAACTCAACAAATGTGTGAAAAAACAGACACTTCTCAAAAGATGGATTATAAAAGGCAATAAACGTATGACAAATATTCAGTATCATTAGTCATCAGGAAAATGTAAATTAAAACTACATTGAAAGATGGACATAGCAGGGCATGCCTATAATTCCAGCATTCAGGGAGGAGGATCTGAAGTTCAAAGACAGCCTGGGTCACATAGTGAGTACAAGCCCAGCCCAGGTTACATGAGAGCCTGTGTAAAAACATGACCAAAAGAAATAAAAAGCCCCAAAACGGTGTATTCAGATTCCATCTGTCAGAAAAGATATCATTAAGAAAGTAAACAGGGGGCTGGAGATGGCTCAGTGGTTAAAAGCACTGGTTGCTCTTACAGCGAACCAGGGTTGAGATCCTAGCACCGACATGGTGGCTAACAACCATTTATAACTCCACTTCCAGGGTATCCGATGCCTTCTTCTGACCTTCACAGGCATTTCATGACACAGGTGCACTTATATACATGCATGCAATACACTCACCACATAAAATAAAAAATAATAAATAAAATATTTAAAAATGAAAATAAACAACAATAAGTGCTGGTGAGGATGGATAGAAGGTGACCCTTATACTGCCAGTGGGAATGTAAATGGTACAGCTGCTCTGGAAATCGGTATGGTGGTTTCTCAAAATACGAATTCAGCACTGCCTTATGACCTAGCTGTACCACTCCTGGGTATACACCTGAAAGGGTAAGTCAGCAGCCACAGAGATACCTACACACTCATATCTACTGTAGCGCTATTCATAAGAGCCATTATAGAATCAGCCTAGGTGTCTATCAGCAGATAGTTATAGAAAAAGGTTTATACACATGTTCACACACACATAAAATAGAATTTTATTTAGCCATAAAGAGGAACAAAATTATTTGTTTTCTAGAAAATGGATGCAACTGGGGACCATCACATTAACTGAAAAAAAGCCAGATGTAGCAAGACAAATATTGTCTGTTTTCTCTCGTTTGCGGGCTAGACTGTACATAAATTCATAAAGCCATTTAAATATGTATGAAATGAAAGCCTATGGGTGACCATGGGAAGGCAGGAGACTAACAGGAGTGGGCAAAGGGAATGGAGAGGAAGCAGAGGGCATGGGGGATATGGTCAAAGTATATAATATATTTGAAAGAATTTTTTATGAAGTCCATCGCTATTTACAATGAATATAGCTAATTAAAAAAACTCATCCCAAATTAATAGTTGTAATTAGAAAAATCATATGGTTACCTTTATCAAAGTGCTATAAAAGTATTTGACAAACTCTACATAAATTTCTAATAAAATAAGAATCTCAAAAGGGAATCCGGTACCTAGTCAGTGGTTTACCCCTGTAATCTCAACACCCAGGAGGCTGTCAGGAGGATTGCCTTAAGCCTGAGGTCAGTCTGAGCTACCTTTGATTTCCAAGCCAATATGGGTTACAGAGAAAGACTAAAAACAAACAAACAAAAAACACCTTAAAACAGGAACCAAGTAGCTCCTTCAGTGTGCTGGGAGAACAGGAAAAAAGTGTGGGAACAGTGCCCCTCTGTGGTTCAACGTGGCACTACCCTAAACCAACAAATGCCAAACCTCAGGAAAGATCATGCATGCTCTATTATTTGGACAAAATTTTCTTCATTTACTACAAAATAACAAAAAAGTGTTACTGCAACAGATATAGAAATTTAATATTTTCATTTTTTATTAAAGTCTCAAGACTGTCAGCAACAGTCACAGATCAGTTCTTCCCTGGGCTATCAGAAAACAGTATCATTTAGAGAGGACTTAAATATGAGGTAGAAGAACTTGGTGTGCTAGCAACTGTTCAAAACCAGCTCTCTGGGTAGTGGGGTGAGGGCACAGGCTTGAAGCATTTGTTAATTTCTGTGCTGTATTTCCATCATGGTTGACTATCGTCATGAGGTCACAGAACTGCAGTTGGGAAGAGGTGTGCAGGAGAAACTACAAGACAGCATGACAGACATAGGTGTGGTAGGCACGGAGAATTCAAAGAGCAGAGCTAACTACAAAACACAGTAGAACTATTCAGAAAGGATGAGGTGGGGGTACCACCTTTTTAGAGTAGACCTTTAGTTTTGGAATGACTACTTCTATTATTTTTAGATTTATAGACAGGTTATGAAGGTAGTACATGGGCTTGGAGAGATGGCTCAGTGGTTAAGAGCACTGGCTGCTCTTGCAGAGGACCTGGGTTCAATTTCCAGCACCCACATGGCAGTTAACAGCCATATATAACTCCAGTTGCAGGGGATCTGACACCCTCTTCTCACCTCCGGGGGCACTGCATGACAGGGGTGAACTTAAACATAGTAGGCAATACACACATACACATAAAAATAATAAATAAAATATAAAACCTAAACCAACCAACAAAACAAACAACAA